CGCCCCCGGGCCGGAATCCCCGCTGACCCGCCGCTGCGGAGCTCCGGCCGGGGCAGCGGGGAGGACGGGCAGGAGCGCCTGTCCGGTGGGAGAGGGCATGGACATGTGAGTGGGGGCTGCTGGGGACGGGGAGGCGGGGGAAAGGCACAGCCACATCTTTGCGGGGAGGGAACGGGAGGGTTAGACCCGTCCAGGAAGGAGGAGAGGTCCAAGGGGCGCAGCTCATCTCGCTGTCCCTCCATTAAAGCTTTGCTAGCACGTAGGGTTGAGGAAGAAGGAGCCTCCTGGCTGATGTTCTCCTAAGATCTGGGCAGTGAGCTTGTTTTGGAGGAACGCTGATAGTCCCCGTTCCCCAGAGGGGAATAGGAGTGATCTGAAGAATAAGAAAAAAAAAACAAAACAAAACAAAACAACAAAACAAAACTGACAGCCAACTTTTGGAGGAGAGGAATCGAGGCATGGCTGGGTGGAGGGCTGCCCAGGAGGCACCGCAGGATTGCCCCTCAGCAAACTGAGCTCGAGCTTTTCAGACCCCTCACCAAACGAACTGGACAGAGATCCTAAACCAGCAATAAACAGAAATGGCCTGCTGGCCCTGAGCCAAAGGGAGCCAAACGTCCCCTGGTTTTAAGACTCCCTTCCCCACGACTGCTGGGAGCAAGCAGACGTTGTTCAGGGAATTTGCTCATGCTCCTTCAAACTGGTTGATGAATCCCTTTGGCTGGGTGACGATGCCTTGCTGGAACCTGGGTAGTGCTCGTGTCTTCATTTCAGCTGTCCTCCTTGTTCGTGAGTGATCCAAGCCAGAAGTTGGACCTGCAACTAGGCCTCCTGTGTTGGATTCCATTAGACAGTGCACAAGTCACTTGTGAAGTCTCCCCTGATTTTGGATGACCTAATTTTGTGCAATGTCATCGTTTACTTGCCATGTTCACAGGCACGTTCCTTTTACCCTGTGCGCCTTCCTCTTTTTTGGAGTGATCAGTTCCCATCCAGTCCCAAGAAAGCTTTTTGGGGAGATCAGATCCCCTGGTTATCCCAAGACGTATCCCAACAATAACATCAGCAGATGGGACATCCATGTCCCAAAAGGCTACGTGGTGAAGCTGACCTTCAGATATTTCGACCTGGAGCCATCTGAGTCCTGCTTCTATGACTACGTTAAGGTATGTGCATAGATATCTGGGCCAAGGGGTGGCTGGAGATGGGAATCTAGTGGCCACCACATGCAGTGACTCTTCATTCACCAGGCCTCCTCTCATGCTTCCCACAAAGGAAAGGGAAGGAGTTAAAGATGGAAATGGGTGGAGCAGCTGCTCCCAACTGGTGGCTGGGTAATAGTGATGCATGAAGCAGGCTGAGTCTTACAAGGCTACAGTGATTTCCCCTTAACCTTGACAGATCAAAGCCGACAAGAAGAACTTGGGCCGATACTGCGGCCAGCTTGGGTCAACCACAGGCAATCACCCAGGAAGAAAGGAATTTGTATCTAAGGGGAACAGGATGCACCTGGCATTTCACTCTGACTTCTCCAATGAAGACAATGGCACGGTGATTCCCTACAGGGGCTTTCTGGCCTATTACCAAGCTGTGGGTGAGTAGGCCATACCCTCAGCATGCAAAAAGAAGCCTCTGTGGCTCCACCAATTTTCCTCCTTGTTGGTAAAATGCAGAGAAGCTGTAAGCAAGGATATGAATCTCTATGTACTTTCAGTGTACAGCAGAGAGGTTTAACGCTTTCCTCCCCTTGTCCCTGCATCTCCTATGCCTTCAGATCTTGATGAATGTGACCCTAAAAATGCTGCTGAGGAAGATGAAAGGCCTTGGTGCCAGCACTTCTGCCACAACTATGTGGGTGGCTACTTCTGTTCTTGCCGGACTGGCTACCAGCTTCAGAGTGACCACCACTCCTGCAAAGGTAAATTGAAATTTTGAAAGATCATAGGGTTCCAGGGAAGGAGCCCTTCAGCCAGGAAAGGCAGGAGAAGTGACTTAGGGAACAGTTGACAGGGCTGCAGAAGACACAGCTCCACAATGTGACCTCTACTTTCTTCCTCTACACCAGCGGACTGCAGCAGTGAGTTGTTCACAGAGACATCTGGGTACCTGAGCAGCCCTGAGTACCCCCAGCCTTATCCTGAAGACCTCCAGTGTAACTACAGCATCCGTCTGCAAAAGGGCCTGTCTATCATCCTCAAGTTCTTGGAACCTTTTGAGATTGATGAACACCAGCAAGTCCACTGTCCTTATGACCAGCTCAAGGTACTGGAGATTAGCAAACTCTACTTCCCACCCTACTGCCAGACCTGGACAGGAATTGTGGGGACAGCACTGTTCGGATGAGAAATATGGGATCAGTACAAGGAGAATGCCCCAACATGAAGGACTGAGCTCTTCCCTTGTCCCTCCCTCAGTGTGCTTAATTACCGGTGTCCTGAGGTCAGAGGCTTTGGGTCACAAGCCCTGGTGAGTGGAGTGAAAAATTCATCCTTTTTCCAGTTTTATCTCCCTTTGATTTAATCTCGGGATTTGATTCAGGATTAGCTCTGCTAACCATGAAAAGGGAGAAGCAGAGCTCGTAGGTAGCTCAGCCCTTTGTTCAGATCTGTCAGTGCAGACATCAGCAAAGACAGGTCACACAGCAGCCCTGTCCACTGTCATAGGCACTGTGGCAAACTTGGTCTGAATTGAAGTAGGGGTACTGGGGCAGAGAAGCGTGTGTGTTTCTGTCCCTGTGATACATGTTTTCCTCATCAGATCCAAGCACGAGGGAGACAGATCGGTGAATTCTGTGGCAAGGAGTCACCTGGCAGCATTGAAACCAACAGCAATGAGGTGGACATACTCTTCCTCACTGATGGGTCAGGGTTCAGCCGTGGCTGGAAGATCCACTACACCTCAGAGAGTAAGACATTTCTTCCCCAGAGGCTACTACAGCCTATCTACACCATTCGTTAATACCAACTTTCTTTGTCCCATTCTCTAACAGAAATACGGTGCCCACAGCCTGTCCCACAGGATCAGTTTACCATCATCAGAGACCTGCAGCCTGTGTATCAATTTCAGGACTATTTCATTGTCAGCTGCAAGACTGGGTATAACCTGATGGAGGTGAGATCCTTCTCCACTCCCTTCAGCCATATTCTGGCTTCTCTTCAGTTTCTGTAAGTCTTTCACCTCTCAGTAAAACTTTCTTTGGAGATTTCGCTCATGGTGACCTGTTGCAATTTCTGTTTCGTCCTGGCTTCTGTCAGCTTTTTTCCAGTGTTTTCTCCTTCCTTTCTCCTAGCTCCCTTCCTCATGCAATTACTATTTCATGAAGCCCTGGTAGAAGATGAGAGACAAAGATCCCAGGAAACATTGGTAAACGAGAATACGTCTTTGGAAGGATATGAAATCAGATTTGAAGTGGAAGATGTTACCTGCCTCCCTTCCTATCCTATTGCCAGGAGTGGGTAGCGCCCCAGACTTGTTTTATGGTTGCTGGTTGTTGATATCTTGTCCTGCTGTGAAGAATTTGTAGCCTGTGGCAAACACAGGGTAGTGGGAAGGCAGCAAAGGGAGAGGACAGCAACTGGAACAGACTGCAGAGGGGTGACTATTGGACAGCAGTGAAAAGATGGGCAGATAGAATAGTATTTTAATGTGGGGAAGGGAATGTAAGACTCTGTACAACCAACAGAGATGTTTTTCTCTCCCATGCAGGGCAACCGAAAGCTGCTGTCCTTCACGGCTGTCTGCCAGGCTGATGGGACATGGCATCAGTCCATGCCCCGCTGTGAAAGTGAGTGATCTGAGAACGGGGATTATGCCCCCTGCCGTGCCCCCCCGCCCCCCAAGAACATGGGGAGTTCAGCCTCTACGACTCAATTTGCCTGTGGCCATAGGCTCATAGATATGCTGGTTGGAAGGACCTGTGGAGGTCACCTAGTTGACTTTCATTACATTTTCCACTTGCAAAAACTTAAATGTTTTTCCTCCCTTAAAAAAGTGTGTAAAATATCACTAAAAAGTTGATACGATGCTGTAACATCTAAAAGCAAAAGATCACAGTTTGGGATCGATTTTGGAATACCTTCTCTCTGCCTGCTGTACTAACTGGTCCTCACCATCCTTCACATCATGGCCACAATCCAAGTCAAGTCTAAGCCTGCAGGCAGTAAGGCTGTCTTTGATTCACCTCTTTCTTTTTCTTTTTCTTTTTCTTTTTCTTTTTCTTTTTTTTTCTTTCTTTTTTTGTAGTCGTGAACTGTGGCAACCCTCCACACCTGACCAATGGGGCATTCAGCTATGTTAACAAACCTGCAAACAACAACTACCAGTCAGTGATCACGTACCAATGCAATGAGCCATATTATCACATTGTCACCGGAACCGGGGGTGGTGAGTCCTTATCCCACACAGACATTGAAATCTGTGCATGGAAAGATCTCTCACGTTTCCAGTTAGAATTGCCTCTGCTCCTCAGGCTTAGGGCTCGTGGTTTTCTCCTGTGAAGGCTCCCCAGTCTTTCCCCAGCTCTGCAGCATAGCTCCTGAGCCTCGTTGTCTCCGCCTGTTCCCACCCTGCTTCATTCCCAGAGTCTATCACATCCCTCCTCCATGCTCTCCTCAACTTTTGCAGGAGGTCTTATTCTCTCATCTGTAGTCTGACGGCTAAATAACATACATACAGAAAAATCTACTTTCATGCAGCAGGTCAGAAAAATTGAGGCAACGTTCAAAACCATTCACATGCCTTCTTTTTGCACCAAATATATGGTTTGATGACACAGAAGCTTTGGTTACAAGAACAGTATAAGGAGTTCATGATTTCCTTGCCTTGGCTGCTCATTTAGCCTCCACACCAAAAAAAAACCCCAAAAAAAACCACATAGATTTTTAAGCTGAATCAGTTCCTGGCTATGGTTGCCAGCATGGACGCACAGTTGTGCAGCATGCCTGAGAGAGGTGGCACGCTAGCACTGGGGCTAAGGAGTGCTTTAAGTTGGTACTAATGCTGAATTTGATTATTCTTGCATCTGAGTTTAACTGCTTCATAAAGAGTCAGAGCTCAATCTCATCAGAAAAAAAATCAGGAGCAAGTAAGTATCAGCACCAGCCAAATTGTGGTGGGGAGTCACTGTGATTTAGTCAGTTTTGAAAGAGAACAGGAAACACTTTCTTGGAAGCATTTACTACAGTGTAAGTTAAATTGTATATGAATTATTTTTAGTCACCAGCACAAACTTTTTAAGAAAAGAAAGAATATTGGAGGTGGTGGAGTTTGTGTTGAGAGGTGGCATGCAGGTTAGCTGACCTGCAATATAGACTCAGAAATAGATACTGAGCATGTACAATAACTGACTCATCTTTTTCCTGCTTCTGGAACAAACCGCCTTGTCCTACTCTCTGCGAACTACAGAGACCAGAAACTTGAATCTAAAATCTATGTCTTTACTTCTTCTCTCCCATCTTTGGGCTAAATAAGGTGCTCTGTAAGCATGTGGACAACTTCACTCAGATGGCTCTTCAGGCTTTTCTTCTACAGAAGCAGTGCCTGAGCTTTACAGGTCCCCTGGAACTGAGATGCTTCGAGATGTACATGTTATCTGAGAGGGAGACATTCCAGACTATACCACAGGCGGCTTTTCCTGGGAAAGGGTGCCTTTGGGATGGAAGGACTGAGTCCAGTGTGTGGGACACCTTGGAGAGAGGAACCCCTTGAAAATACTCTGTTCTATTCCATTCCATTCCATTCCATTCCATTCCATTCCATTCCATTCCGTTCTTCCCACCCCATGCCTGCAGGCCTGGGTCTCATTCACTTCCCTCTCATCCTACAGACAGATTCACCTGCTCTCCTGAGGGAACCTGGGTGGATCAAGATGGCCAGGTGAGGATTCCTGCCTGCTTGCCAGGTCAGTAAAAAACTCTGACTTTGTCTGCTGTTTACCAATTCATGCTTACAGTCAGTACAAAGCCGCAAAACCACGCAGGGAGGGGAGGGAGGATAATGGTATCATTGAAGTAGGAGAGGGAAATCTATTCAGGAAGGCAAAAATAAGGTGAAATTGAACAGTGATGGTGTAGGAAGGAGAGAGACAGGCCAGGGCGACAGAGGGTGTCATGATCTCCTTGCATTTCTTTACAGTGTGTGGGAAGCCGGTCAGCCCCGTTACTGAAGTCCAGCGGATCATGGGCGGCAAGTCAGCAAAGAGAGGCAATTTCCCTTGGCAGGCTCTGACTGGCATCCACGGACGAGGGGGTGGTGCGCTCCTGGGAGACCGCTGGATCCTGACCGCTGCCCACACCATCTTCCCCAAAGGGGCAGGAGGGAACAATGTAAGCCTGGAGCAGCTGGCAGAGGAGGCTAACATATTCCTCGGCCACACCAAGGTAGAAGAGCTCCACAAGATGGGTAACCACCCTGTACGTAGGATCTTTATCCATCCAGATTACAACCCTAAAGATGACCACAACTTCAACGGGGACATAGCCCTGCTGGAGCTGAAACACCCGGTAACCCTGGGCCCTACGGTACTGCCCATCTGTCTCCCAGATACTACCAACACCACGTTCTACATGGATGGGCACATGGGCTACGTGAGTGGCTTTGGTGTGGAAAAAAACTTTATTTCAAATCATCTGAAGTACGTGAGCCTACCAGCGGTTGCTCGAGAGAAGTGTCAGAGTTGGCTGGACAGTAAGAAGAGAGACATGCCTATGATTTTCTCTGAGAACATGTTCTGTGCTGGATTCCTCACAGTCAAACAGGATACCTGCCAGGGGGATAGTGGGAGCGTCTTCACGGTGTTAGACACAGAAAGTGGTCGCTGGGTGGCTACCGGTATTGTTTCTTGGGGTATCGGCTGTGCCGAAGGCTATGGCTTCTACACCAAGATCCTCAACTATTTGGACTGGATCAAAGGGATAGTAAGGGAGGATAGGCTCTAAATGTTGCTGTCCTACTAGCTGAAGAATCACTGATAGCATACAAATTTCCAGACACAGCATATAATATCTAAAGCTTTTGATGATGTCCCAAAGGCTTTTTGAACACACAGACCATGTAACCTTCATCATGAGCACTTCTGAAAGCCACCATATTGTTTGATGAACTCTTGGTGATACCATCAAAATTTACCAAAGATGCTGTACCATTGGCAGCTTGTGGAACGCCTTTGTGGATGTTACAGTTCTTCCAAATCTTATTACTGGGTGAAGCCTTAGTAATACCAGGAAATCTCATGACGGCAAAGATGGTATTTTTTGAAGTGCTGACGATACACCAGACTACTGCAGTCTACTTTTGTACTTTATTGTGTGGGGAGCTTGCAGGGCAGCAGACTTCCTTGAAGGATGTGGTACTTTGTGCTGAGTACAGTGTGCACATGCTCATTGGCATCAGTGCGATTCTATGAATATTAAAATCATTGCTGGAGAAACCAGGTGTGTTATGTTTTTCTGTCTTTGTTTTTAACAGCTACTAAATATTCCCCATCACTGAAGCAAGTTATGGACTTTATATAGGGATTGCTTTACCTACCGCTAATGTGTTTCCAGTTCTGCAACGGCATGTGGTGGTTGCTCACCTGTCACAAAACTACCATTAGATTGCCCAGTCTGAAACACCAGGTAGCTTCAAGGGATGCAAAAATAAGTTATCTGTGTAATGCCATGTTTAAGAGATATGGAAGACAACAACCAATCTCATGGAGAAAAGAGCCCAGGAACTTTTCCAGATGAGAATTATATGTTGATTTTTTTTATATATATACACTATATGAAATAAAGCTCTGACTGCAGGACAGCAGCTCTAAAATGATGCTGACTCAGAGAAAAGATATCCCCTCTTGTATTGTGGGTATTTTCTGGAGTTGTCTCTTGACTAGTTTTGCTACGGCAAACAACCTACCTTTTACTTGTGAATCGCTGAGAGAAATGAAGTCTGCAAGACCTTGACAGGGGAACTCTGGGACTAAGGTCACAGTTGCGTTCTCGCACTGTTTACTGGGAGATCCAGCTCCAGATCTTCTCAGGTGTCAGTATCTCTCATTTGCTTTTGAGATAATATACCCTGGGCAGTGTTCTGTGAAATTGGACATGTGAATTCATCCATGATCTCCAGAGGTCAGAATTCTGTTGATTTTTTCCCATTTGCATGGGCAAGAGTGGAGCATGAGAAGCAACACAAGCATGGAAATACAAGGTGTCCAGTTGCACAGGAGCAATGGATAAACCCTGGTCTGGGGGAGGGAACAGAGAATGAGGCATATGCAACAAGGAGGCATTCCAGTTGAAGAACAGGGAATTTTTGGGGTGTTCAGTGACTACAGGTGACAAGAACAACAAAATACCCAGTTCTTCAGTCCTTGTAAAAATTGGGAAAACTTACTGAGAAGCCATCTCAAAGAATCTCCTGCTCTGCAGGAAACTAGGAAATTTTGGGAAGCTGAGGCATGGAGAATAGATTATTTGCCTAAAATCCCTATAGGAATCCATGACCCTCCTAGGAACAGCAATCCCAGCTAAATAAGTATCTTTCCCGTCTCCTGCTGCTGGACCACTCAGCCACACTACTGTTTCTCTTCTCCTCTGCTCTCCTGAATTGATTTCAGCATTTTCTCTTCCTCTCCTTTTCCAGAATGACTGGAGTTAATTAGTGAGCTAGTGAGTAATGATGCGACACTGCTTGCTTGAGTGGCTTTGTGGTCATAGAAGCTAAGGAAATGTCTCACCTTAGTTTGAAGGTCACTTTTTTCAGAATTTAAAATAGATCAATTTTCCCCAAATTGTACTTTGTTGAGCTATTTCTACTGCTGAAGTATCCATCACATACTGAAGCAGAAGCTTCCTAATAGCCAGACATAACAATCTGTAAAATTTCCAGTGGCTTTTGCCCACAATTACCCCAGATGTTTGGGCATGTCTGTATGATTTATGAAATTCTAATACATACTGTGAAGTTATAAAATATTGTTACAATGGCACCACTGCATCATTATTGTTTCTTTGCCAGTACATAGTCACCTCCGCACGAGAGGAACATGGGCTAAGATTGTAGCCTGGACTAGTTACCAGGAATGGACACTTGCCTTTTGTGCTCCAAAAGATGAAAGCTGAGATGAGTGCACCTACATAGCAACATGAAGGAATGGCTATAAAATTTCATATTCGTTTAAAGTTGGCACGTACAGATGTAAAAGTAAAAAGCATTCAACATCCTGTGGGTCACAGTTCCTCAGGAATGCGGTAAGAGATCCTTGGTTACTAGCCCAACAACAAAATAACCTTTTGCTTGTTACACAAAATTGAAAGTGCAGGAATCTATATGAAAACTCCCAAGAACCGCATACATCGTCCTCACCATTTCCTAGACTCTTGGAAAAACTTAGGCTGGAAGAAGAGGTCTCTAGTCCAATCCACTGCTGACAGCAGGACTAATGTCAGAGTCTCCAGGGCCTTGCCTGGGCAAGTTATGAAGAAGTCCAGGGACAGAGGTTCACCATTCTTTTATCAGACTTGTACCAGGGCAGACCCACACCCTGGGAAAAAAAGTGCAATTGGAAATCCCCTTATTGTAATTTGTGCCTATTGTCTGTTGTCCTCTCACTGTTCATGTTTCTGAAGAGTCATGCTCTGCGTACTCTCTAGTCCTCCTTTAGGTATCTGAATACAGCAGTTAGATCCCCCTCTTAGCTTCCTCCTTTTCAAGCTGAACAAACCCAGCTTCCTCCATCTTTCATCATATGCCATCTGCACCAGTTCTCTGACCATCTTAGCAGAAAGATATCTGTGAGTGATAGAGGACTTCCTGGAGCAGAAGATACCCCTAGAGCATGTCAGATAATCTTCTCCCACAATACTACCTTCCCTAAATCAAGCAACGTTTATTTCTTATCTAACACAATGAAGTTTGAAAAATAAACTCCGGAGGACAGGTGAATGAAAGGATTTTGAAGAAGTCTCTTCTGTTCAGCTTGATTCAGAAGCCTGAAGCCCTCATTGCTGGTAACGGTTGGTCAATGACATGCAACCATCTCAGAAGAATTTCATAAAGACTCTCAGGTAGAGAGGAGAGGCAGCACAAGTTATAGCTTTACAAAAGCTGTAAGTGTAGTGGGTCAAATTGGGACTAGACACTTGATTCAAGGAGAACCAGGTCTAGACTGAGAAGAAAGGTGAGACACACACAATAGTGTATTGCACAAAAGGCAATTTGGACATTCTTTAATGCTGTTAGATATTCTGAACAATACAGGAAATACATAAATCAGAAACCAGGCTCTGAACCTACCCTGGGAACCAACCGTTATTCTCTCTCATCCTCATTGAAATCTCCCTGTCAGGTGGGGCATAGGTAGGTCTTCTCCAAGTGGGAAAAAATGGGATAGAAAAAAATAACGGGAAGCAGAAGGACCCTCTTTATCCGGAATAGCATCTTCCTCTTATGCTACTATGAGTCGAAGAAGAAAGAGAAATTCCCCTCCCAAACACAACGACAGTGGGATAAATGGATACATATTCCTGACTCTTCATTCAGCACAGACACAACGAGTAGAGCCTTTACATACACAGAGTGAACAGCATCACAGCCAGCCTGAACGTGTAACCATCACACTTAGAAAGGGTGACTGTGCTGAAAGGAGAAAGAGCTAATCCTGCCAAGCTTCTGCATCCTCATGCTTGCTCATGGTTTCTGTAATCCAGTCCAAATAACGAACTACCTTGGTGTAAAGACCAAAGGTACCACATCTTGGTCCCCAGGAGATCAGCCCAGCTACATAGTACCGCCTGTCATCAAGAGGATCTTGGATAGCGTAAGCTCCACCACTATCGCCCTTACAGCTGTCCTTGTCACCACCAGCACAGATCATATTGTCAGTGAATCGGTAAGCACTGGAATCAGCAGAGCCCTCTGGTTTCACAGACCGACACTTATCCATGTCCACCACGGGAATCAGGGCTTTCCAAAGATAAATAGGCAGCCTCCCTCTCTCTCTCTGGCCCCAGCCAGCAATGTAGCCCAGAGTCCCTTCTTGCACCTCATACTCAGGTGATTTACCAGGAAGACAGAGGGGTGAGATGTTTGGGCCCATCTTCACAGGATCCCTCAGCTTCAGTAGTGCAATATCATTATCAAAATCGGTCCTGGTTTCTATGGGCTGCTTCTTCCAATCAGGATGGATGAACGAAGCCTCTGCGACCAGCTGCTTGGCCTCCCAGTACAGAGATTCTCTGCCAACATTGATTACCCCAGCATACATGTTGGGCTTGTCGTATCCCTCCAGCACATGAGCTGCAGTCATGACCCATCTTTCAGAGATGAGTACGCCACCTCCTCTCGGGTAATCGAAATACACCTGCCAGGGGAAGTTGCCCTTTTCTGCACGAGTGCCTCCAAAAATCTTTGCTTTCTCTTGGATGGGATTACTAGGCACCCCACAGACTGGAAAGAAAAGAAAAAAAGAGGAACCAGATGGGAGGATTAGCAGTTACAAATAGGGCGTTCTTTGGTACTGCTAAAGAGCCCATAGTCCCCTCCTTCCTTGTGTCCTCTAAATCATTTTTGATTATGAATAACCAGTGTTTATATTCTATGCCATGAGCTTGCAACTAGTATTTACAGAGAAATTCAAGAAAATTCAAGCATAACTACTATCAAAATTCAATTTAGGCTGAAAATACTCATTCTCAAATTCTCATTCTGAAAAGCAATTGTCACCACACCAGTGCTGGGTATGTCAAAGCTCACAATTTAATTGCATTCCAGTTAGCATTTTTCCTTTGCTGAATTATGTCCTGTAAGTGAAGGGATTGTCTTTGAAAAAATACTTGGTTAAGTTCCTAGAAATATGACACTGCTCTTTAATTATTTTTTTTTTTTGTGAACTCTAGATAGCCTCTGGTTAAGTGTTCATGTTTGTCACTGATGTTTTACCATTTTTCCTCTC